GGGTAGAACGTATCACATTTCTCTAGATGCTTCAAATTTCTCTCTATGGAAGGCCCTAAATATTTAACCATTTTCGGGATCGCACAGAATCGCATGTGCATCTTCATGTAAATTGTCCATTATTTTTGTCCCATTTCAGCAATCACAGGAATATTTCAATCAATTTTAATAAAATCTTCATTTATCAAATTTGATGAAGTTCCTTCCAGTGGTTCTCGAATTATATGTTATAGAAGAACAAATAGAAGGAAGGGAATATTTTGAAAGGCGCTTCGCTGTGTTGCGAACGTGCCTAAAAATATGTTAGCAATATTTTTTAATAAACTTTTTACAAAATTAACTGCAGATACATTTATTTTATAGCTTGTCGCCGCGGGTGTTCAGTGATAAACGAAAACAGGCGAGTGCCTGTCCTTGAATACAAAATAATTTAACGACCTTTTTTATATATCAGAATGATTAAAGTTCTCCCTTCTGTTATTAATATTAACGATTTGGGAGGACAAAATAAAATCAGTATAGCTCTCTGTTATTTCTTGTCTAAACATTAAACAGTTCCACGAAACTTAAGAACAGCAGATACCCTTATGTTCACTGGAATGACCTCCCGGTTCACATGGTTGTAAACTAATGAAACTGAACCCAGGGTAAAAACATAAAAAAAATCAGGTAGAAACAGAGGCGTATATACAGTAATTTAAGTATAAAATTCATAACGCAACATCTGCTTCTGCAACATACATTTAGTTGACCTAGTTGACCAAGCAGTGCCTTGTGATGGACACCGAAGTTGATTACAGTTGTCAGAGAGACTAGTACATAATCGTACTCTCAGCCGGGCAAATCCGGTTCATATCGAAATTTACAAAGAAATTTAAAGAATTTTTTTCATCACACCTTACACGTCCGGCCCGTATTTGTCGTATGGAACAGCTTCGGTAAATAGTCTAAAAATCAGTCACTTATCTCCATGCTATTTATTACAGCATCTTAACTATAGTAGGTCAAGTGTGCAGATTTTGATGCTTCTTGTCATGTATTTCTTTCCATTTCTTTTTATTCAATCACTGAACATTACTCTGTAGTATTGCTGCATTGTATCCAGTAGATCTTGGGTTCGAATCTCAGCCTCCAGACAGGCTATCCTCCGCCTCCCCCAAATAACTGCAAGGATAGTGATGTATAATATTGTATTTCTCGGTACAATACTAAAAATCCTCCATATCGCTGTCAGACATATTAAGCTGAAGCTGATAAAATGTGGTTAAGTAAAAATAATCTTTTCACGCAATATTAAGTGTATTTATTAGATTTCGTTAAGCAGGGCTTAGTTCATACAGGATATAGGGTTTCGTATGGTTCTCATAGTACACAGCAATCACATTTATTTGTAATGGAGGCAAAGTGTATTCTAGGAGGTAGGATAGTGAACTTTAGATACCATATTTACGCATGTGTAGGCCGCATGCGTGTATAGGCCGCAGCACAATTTTCAGACAGAAATTATAGAAAAAATAATTTTCTTGGGATATTATTTCAGGAGTAGAACACCCTGTATTACTAATTATGAATATAATTTTTTTTAAATGAAGTGTGATTTCGAATATTTAGAATATAAGCCGCACCCCAGTTTTCCTCTTGAATTTTTGGCAAAAAAATGTGCGGCCTATACATGCGTAAATACGGTATTATATTAATTCCAGGTTTCAAAGGCTTAAATGTACAATATTTCATAGTTGTATTTCTCTCCTCAGAAGGGAATTGCCAGACAGTTTTTTTCCTTGGCACTACAGCCCCAGTGGGCCTAGGCCTACCTCCCTGAACGCCAGACAGGTTACCTTCCAATAATTAGACAAGTCGAACATCGAAACATTCCATAATGCCAGGCCAGCAAACTTTATAAAAAACAAATATATCTGCCTGTTTATTAGAGCTGCGCCTCACGCACTGAAACTAACCCTATCCGATTTCCTGCGCAGTTAACGTGCATGGGCCCAACTGGCATCAGTTTTCATGACACCCAAACTTCAATACCGTCGCCGGAGTGATGGATTGGCAACGCTCTCATAATGCTGCCTCAGCAGTATGTAACCGCATTAGGCTCGTTTTGTCTCTTCCGACAAGGCTTACATATTTAAATAACAGTTTACGAATTTCCTAAAATAGGTTTGAAAATTTCTTATAATAAAATGCTTTAAAATACAAATATAAACATATAAAAAAAGTTGCTGTTACATGCTTCGCCACCCTGGTTATCTTTTCTTTGTGTTTATATCCATGCTGGGGGGCACGCGGTAGGGTAGTTGGTTGAGGCACTATGCTTCAAGCCTTAAGGTAGCGGGTTCGAGTCCCGAAGAGGTGAATTTTTTCTATTTACCTAATCCTTCCATCTGCATTATGGCCCTGAGGTCGACTCAACCTCTAACAGAAATGTGTTCCAGGAACCTTCCTTACGTGTAAAGGGCACCGCCATTTTTTTAATTCGCTTATTGAGGGGTGGAGTCCAACTGGGTCCACTCTGCACGGCGGCCACTGATTGGCTTATTGTAGCCTGCCCCGAGTGATTATTATGATGGAGAATTTGGTGGAATGAAGATTGGCAGGGGAAACCGAAGTGCTCGGAGAGAATTCGACCCAGCGCCATTTTGTACACCACAAATCCCACTCGACCACACCCGGGATCGAACCCGGGCCGCCGCAGTGGGAAGCCAATGACTAACCGCTTGAGCTATGGCGCGGCCCAGGCCGCCGCCCTTACCACCATTTGTGAGCCGACTGTCTAAAGAAAATGTTGGAGCGTCGACATCTCACAACCCTATGGGCCTTCACGGCCTATTACAAGAATAGATTCTTTACTTCTGTATATATTCATGCTTATTCTTTTGACATGTTAATTGTTGATTCCGCTTGAACTTTCCAAATGCAGTACATTATTTCGTGTACTTATCGTGTATCCAGCAGTTTCAGTAGTTCAGATAACTTAGTGTCAAATTGTAGGAGTAGTGAATGGTGAACTGGAAAGAATTTTGAAGGAAGTGGTCATGGCCTAATATCAGGTACGGTTCTGGCAATTGTCTGAAATAAATCACGGAATTTCTCAGGCAGGATAGCTGGTCTGCGAGCAAATATTTGAAATGGGACGATCTAATTATAAAGCAAGAGCCCTATTTATTACGACCACTGCGTCTGGTACTAGTTACATCATTCTATATTTCATCATTATCCTGCTAATATAACATATTTCTAGTTTCTTTCTAGTATGGGTCTATGAGGAGATATCTCATACGTTTCGCATATGTGGGTCAAGTAGCTAAAACTTTAAAAAGTAAGTAACAAAGAAATTAAATGTATAAATTACACTCGCTTAATTAGGAACACAAAATTGGGATTGAGTACTCGAATCACCTAACTAAATTTACCACAATAACGGCACATCGCGCAAACATGTAATAACAGATTTTTTTTTTTAATATTATATAATAATTAAGTTCGTACTTGGGAGGAAACCCATTACGTCTCCGTTACGGAAAACAACACTGTTTATTGTGATAACCAGAAAAACACATAAATACATTCGGTGGGTAGAATGCAGAGTTTTAGTATGTTAAAGCAGGTGGTATACATAGTAACCACAGGTGTGTGCTGTGGTAATCTACTCATACATATCGGCAACAGTACGGAGCAAACGTCATACCTTTGGACGTTTTCGGTTTGATCCGTGCTAGGAAACAGGAATATGTCTTATATTGTGTATGTACATACATAGAGGTTTATAGAAATCAGATTCATTCATCATTCATCAGTGGCTTCACAGCCCTTTGTTGGGCATTGGCTACTTCAGTTTCGTAATCTTTTTTGCACAGTCGGTAGGGCTCCTTGGACGAATTATCAGCCCGTCGCAAGGTCGCTACCTACACACAGGACAACACAAACACAGAATAAGAGCATACACAGACATTCATGCCTTTGTGGGATTCGAACCCAAGATCCCAGCCTTCAAGCGAGCGAAGACAGTTTTATGTCTTAGAAGTCGCGGCCACTCTGATCGGCATATCAATCAGATTCTTTTTTCCTTGGCACTACAGCCCCAGTGAGCCTAGGCCTACCTCCATGAACTCCGTTCACTTCGGTTTTTCTACATCTTACACATACGGTAGGACTCCTTGGGCGGGTGATCAGCTCGTCGCAAGGCCTCTACCTGTAGACAAACACAGAAAAACGCACACACACTAACTAAACATCCATGCCCTGAGTGGGATTCGAACCCACGATCCCGGTTTCGGAGCGAGCGAAGACAATGCATGCCTTAGACCACTCGGCTACCGTGACCGGCATATAAATCAGATGGGCCCACGCTATTCTGATCTTAAGATCAGTCTCATATGCCTGCTCTTTCTCTTGCTCTTCTTTAACGTGCTTCGAAATTGTTATTAAATTGTTTTATTAGTGTAACGGAAGAATTACATTAGTTAAAGTAAATAATAGCCAATTGGTTGGAAAGTTGGAAAATGTATATTCCTTTAAGAAATTCTAAGGTTAACACTCTTTGAGGATTTTGAAACTGAAATTTCTATTTCTGAATGTTATTCATCCAAAACTCTTTCTCTTTATATTTCAAAACGCATCGTTTCGGAGACTGGATTCTGTCTCTGTCTTCAGGCAGTTGGGCCCAGTCGATAGAGCTAATCCCTGTCTCCGGAGACAGAAGAGTCCAGACTCCGAAACGTTGTGTTTCGAAATATAAACAAGACGGCGTTTTAGATAAAATCAAGACGATAGATAATGTCCAGTGACATAATATTTGTACTAAATTTGCCCACTATTCCACTAGCTTAGTATAATATAAACAGTAGAATTAACGTCAGCTAGAACAGTAAAGGTGAACACAATATTTTCAATGTCGATTTCTATTATATCGGCATACTTACTGTCTCAAGCTCTTTCTTGCACAAAATGGAATGTTCCAAATAGTAATATATATATTGGGATCCTTTACTTACTGTGTCCTTAACGTGAAAGCTGCTGATGTGATTGACGAAGGAAGATGAAGTCCTTTGATGATTTCTTGCCACAGTTTCTTGTTGATGACGTCAACTAAACCTCCGCGGGCGATGACTAGGTTGTAGAGCTCATACAGATCTAGGACGGACTTCGCCATGATTGGTAATCGATTGATGGGCGTCCCTGCGCACACAAGAAGAAAACGTTTGCGTTATACTGCAATTACCCATGTGGTCTCCCATTCTTCTTGTATGCATTCTCCTTCCAAGGTAAGGAGAGAGATTGTCTCTGCAACGAGACGGCAGAGACGGGCCTTCTTAATCAGCTGACCTATCAAACCCATATCCTTGACCATTAGGCTAACTACACAGAACTAAAAGAAGGACCTGTGTCACTAACATAGATTACTACACGCGCACTATTGTTGTCGAAATGAATTGCCATTTTATAATGAAACAAGTTATATCTTCCATATTTGTGGTACTTTGTGTGATAAGCTGGTAACAATCGGCTTAGCGTGGCCGATGCAGTGGCAACTGTCAGCAGTTTGAGGCTAACTTGATTTGAGAATGTTATTTGACGTCACCTTTTCTGTTAACTCCAGTGCCCCTATGTGCGTTTTCAGTAACAACTTCTTAGGACTTCTTTTGTTTTATTTTAATGCTAATGGGGTGGGGTAGGTCCCCTGTACTGCGTCCACTTTTAGCCTATTGTACCAGCCCCAGATGATAGGTGAGGGTGATTGTGGAGCAATTGGTGGAATGAAGATTGGCAGGGGAAATGGGACTTCTTTAGCACAGATATTATTTCCCTGAATAATTCAGTGCTTTTGAGAATATCTGCAGCAGAGTCACAGCCAGGCCTAACTTCCAGAAATATTTAGAGTTGGACATGTTTCAATATGACGACATGCTGGTGTATAAGTGAGTGTACATAGATTCTAACCTTAATAATCTGTGGGTCTTTTCTAACTTTGCTTCTAAAGGCATAAATGCCCCTTGCATCTGAGGCCTTCCCCATAAAGAGATTTCCCACCTCACAGGAAACAAACTCTGTCGTCCTTATTATACCCAGTCTGTTAATCTTGTTCAGAAAACGAATGGCTCTTTTTATAATGGGACAAATACCAAAAGAATCTAAAAGGCTTGATTAAATTAGTCGAAAATTTTAAAATATACAACTTGCGTAACAAACCAATGTGGCGTAATATATCAAACGCTTTTCGATATTCAAGAACACAGCAGCCGCAGTCATGTTGCGAAGTTACGAGGAATATGAGAGTGTGTCCATTGTTCGCAGTCATGAAGTGTTATAATTATCGTGTGTGACAACTATCTGTAGTTCCGCCTGGCATACATATCCAATAAAACAGCTCCGTCAAAACCGTAATCCATAATTATTTCTCACGTATCCCTTATATGTGACAATATAATAGTTACTATTGATGTGTTATTAGGAATCCCACATTAATTAGGGAACGATTTTGTCACTGCTTTCCTACCTTCTAATACAATACCTCTCTTTTGTAGGGTCAAAGTTGAAATATATCGACATTTTTCGGAAACACCTCATCACACAAGAGAATTAGTAAATTATGTAAATTTATTTGAGCTCGTTATGATCCTTAAGATGTTAATCTTTCAAGGCAATGAATTTGACCTACTGAGTTAGGGCGTCAACTAACGCAATATAATCTGAGGTAGTCACAGTATCCTTAAATAAGGTAAAACAAACACATATCAGCTTCCATTCCATAAAACATACCGTCTTGATGGTGTAGGCAGTATGTTCCTCCGTAATGTCGCTATTCATATGCCAGGATATACTGTTTCAGAGACCAGAAAATAACCTGTTAAATTCCACAGTTTTTATTTAGCAGTTTCCTTGCAGAATATGAACAGGCCTGCTTAATGATATACAATGAAAAGGAATTTGACTTTTTACAGTTTGGACCAACAGTGTGATTAGCTTCTGAACAAACAATTACATCTGCAATAAGCGATCTAATCCTTTGTAAAGACAAATTAGACGACGTTCAACAAAATGCAGCTGTCCCTCTTGCTCTACATTTGCTTTGTCCCTCAAATACATACCAATAAGAAGTCCTGAAGAGAATGTCTTTAAATAAAAAAAAGGATAGGCAAGAATTCTTTTTAGAGCTATTCTAGTAATGTGCACCGTATAAAAACTTCATAAAGTGCCATTAAGTGCTAATTTATTTTAATATTGTTAGGAATTCGCTTCTCGCTACATATCTTTATGGATCTTAAATTCGGATCATGAATTTTCGAACATGGTGGAGACTACACAAACCTATAAATGACAAGATCTACATAATAACTTATGACTGTGTAATGCAAATAATGTAGCAACACTTTTATGCATGGAGTTTGGGCGACACACTGCACAGGCGCTTCGGGTTTTCATACACAGGAATTTCATTGATGCTCAACTGCAAAAAGCTGTTACTCACGTTCATAATACAGTAAATAACTCCATGAAGCCGATCCCTTCTTGAGAATCCACCAGTTGGTAGTGCTAGTGGGGTGGTACTAAGTCCCTTGTACTGCGGCCACTTCTGGCCTATTGTAGTAGTCCCAGATGATAGGTGAGGGTGATTGTGGAGCAATTGGTGGAATGAAGATTGGCAGGGGAAATTGAAGTACTCGGAGAAAACTTGCCCCAGCGCCACTTTGTCCATCACAAATCCCACTTTACCAGACCCGGGATCAAACCCGACCGCCGCGGTGGAAACCAGCGACTAACAGCTTGAGCTATGGCGCGGCCCGTATCCACCAGTTGCTCAGCTGCTCAAGAATTTCCCTACATTGTAGAACCCAGTACTTCATTGCCGTGATCAAAAGGGCCCGCCACTGGTCCTTACCATAAGCCAGATGAATCAAGCTCATACCATCCCATCCTGTTTCTCTAAGGTTCATTTAAAAATTATCCTCCCCCTACTCGTTTTGATCTTCCTATCGGTTCATTCCTTCTGTCTCTGCCACTAATGCCCTCATGCGTACTACATGCTCAGCACGTCTCGTCCTCTTTGACTCGATAATTCTAATTACATTTGGATGTTAGCAAGAAGAATGAATTATCAAATGTGTTTCCCGTTATAGAATGACAAAAGCAGTAATATTTTATGGGTGTAAGAGTCAGGGCGATATTGGTGATTCTTTCTACTACCCGATTAAATGCAAATTCTCTAAGTTGTAAACAAGCGCTCATTGTTGCATTTGCAGAACATGAAGAACTGATCACTCTGAGCATTAATTTATACTATTTTTGGTATTCACATCTGCAGAAAGACATGAATGTAGAACGCCTGGTATAGCACTACACCGGATATGACGTATCCAAGAGGAAGAAAGGACACTGGAGGGAAAGAGGTATGGTGAGCTTTACAATTTGCGCTCTTAACCTATTATCGCTAGGAAAATCGTATTGAGGAGGAGAGAGCCGAGATGGCTCAGTCGGTATTGCGGTTGGCTACCGGCTGGACAGCCATGGGATTGAGTTTGGACTCTCAGCAGAGACAAGGAATTCTTCTTCTCTCCACAGGGACCCAACCGGCTCTGGGGCTCACCCTGCCTAGTATTTCATGGGAGTCAGGACCTTTTATCCAGGGATAAAGCAGCATTGTTATGAAGCTGACCACTCACCTCCATTTAATACCGTGGTTGAACTGTGGTAATTTATTAGGAACCATTCCGTGATGACATTCGGATGAATTGAGTCAGAGCAGGTTTTCGTGGATAGAATAGTCTCCATATAAATATCCATGTATGGCTCCTAACATAATTCGAAAGTAAACATCCATTTTGTTACGTATCAGAAAGCTGATAGGTGTACCACCGTGTGCAGTAGAGTTTGTTGGTTTGATATTTATATATCAGTAATGCAAACTGTTAGATACACAAGATCGGACTATTACTACCTTCACGGTAACCTGAAAAGAGAGCCAGCTGATGGCTCCGAAACATTGACCTATCTATCAAATTATAAGGTGTCACATTCCATAAGACAGAAATCTTCGTAGGGAAGGCCATGAGTGTTTCATATCTCACAAGAGATTTGAGGTTTTTCATGATTGTTAAATTTAAATTGTGATATTCTTGATCGTCATATCGTAGTCTGGTTGGTGCTTAGAAACGTTTCGGAGGAACATTACTGCTGCCTTTATGTTTTATCCTACTGCCTGTATTATTTCTCCTTTTGGAAAACAAATTCCTTCGAAAAGTTGACAATCGAATGAGATACTACACGGTGTCATGACTCAGAAAAAGAAGATCCAAATTTATGCATAGATAATCATGTCATGAAAATCTCAACGCATATCTTGTGGTTACTTGCTAGTAGTTACAGATACTTGCCATGTCAAAAATGGTTCAAGTAAAAATTGTAGAATTCAGTGATATCCGGACTGTATGTTAACCGCTAATGTCTTGTAGAATGCGTTCATTTTGAAACTTGTAAAGGGCTGTTTGAGCTTTATGTAATGTAGAGGTTATAGGATCTATTACACTGATATGAACCGAAATTAAATTTCCTCAACTATTCCTGTGTGACCTTCCTTCTATTCTTAACGGTGATAACGTTATCAAACTTCCTGTTGTTGTGAGGGGTTCTATAACCACGGAATTCTTAACTAGAGAGTCAGACCTCAACGATACAGTGTACAAATTTATGATGAACCTTGTACTTATTTTTCATGACAGTGATTATTTTACGGGCATAAGAACTGAAGGACAGGCGGCCATTCTAGACTTGAATACTCAGAATCAGTGACGAGCCAATCTTCAGCAGAAAATCTCGCATTTCAACCAGCTATGAAACTATAAAGAATTTATCAAGAGGAGCGATACATTGTAAGTTTGTTTTACACTAAAATTAAAATTATAATTAAACTATTTCCTTTTTTTATTTAATTTAGAGGCCAAATGCCATGATTTATCTGAAAATTGGTGACTTCCGTGATGTGAAATCGTGTCGTTTGGTAGACATATATCAATGTTTCGAACGAAAGTACTGCCTTCAAACTGGGAAGAGTGCCTGCTCCTAAAAACATTGGTATCTACCTATTGCTACTAAGTATCTACTCACATACTATAAAGTGACACATCCCTGAAGTTATAAAGTAAAGTAAGTAAAGCTATCCCTGTACCAGGCCGTGAAAGCCC